CGTAGGTCGAGGAGTTAAGACCGGGTTTGCTAGAGGGGAAAATGGCTTTGCGCGTATGCTAACTGGAGGTCCGCCACGTGTCGCGACTGTTAGTGTTCTGGAGACGTTTGAGTGACGTAATAAGGGCAGTGACGGTTGTGTAATGATGATTTCGCAATAAATGTGTTGTCAGTTGTGCTTTTCAGCTGACACGTGTCGCGTCGGTTTTGAATTTTGGGGGAGAGTTTTTCCCTTTCTTCCACTCGCGCCTCTTTTCTGTCTTTCTTCTGACTTCTCGAGTACGAGAGTTTTTCTTGCTTCCCTTTACCTCCTTTCTATTTTGCGCTTCCGTCGCCGCCGCCGTTTCCGGTAGTCCCTTCTTTGTTAGGGAATTTTCTGAGGAGGAGTACCAGGTACTTCCTTTTTATTTGCTTCTTCTCTTTTTTTCATGACCGGTGGAAGTGGTGCCGAATCCTCTGCGTCTGCCAGGGGCAAGGCGCGTGGCAAGGGGGTGGCCGCTGGAAGGGGCGCTGTTGAGAAGAAAGACCCGCCGCCCCCTAGGGGCCCGGGGCCCGGCGTTCCTGGTTACGACTGAGCCAAACGCGAGGTGGCTGAGGCTCAGAGCATTTTTCGTTCTTTCCTCGAAGTGAATGCGTTTCGGAGAGCGCATAGGGTTTGTGACTCCTCCATTTCCCACACGATTCGGCTTGAGCCCTGTCAGGCTGATGAGGGCGTGTATATGGGGAGGTCTACTGATCCCCCCTATTTCTATGTATATCAATGCTTCTTTAGAGATTTGGGTGTATGTCTTCCTTTTACCCTGTTTGAGTGCGAGTTTTTGAATTTCATCAACGCGGCTCCTTGCCAGTTGCATCCCAATAGTTGGGGTTTTTTGAGGGCTTTTCAGGTCCTGTGTACAGTTCTAGGTATAGAGGTGTCTCTTCGCGTCTTTCTTCATTTTTATCAGTTGAAGATGGGCGTTCCGCCTTATGGCATTTTGTCCCTGAGCGGGAGTAGGGATGGGGGCTTGTTTACTCCCTACTCCCAATCGTATAAAAATTTCAAGCAGGAGTTTTTCCGGGTCGCCCTTGTGGGTGTTGACCCTTTGGAAGACGAGGTGTTCTACTTCGGCGGTTTGCCGAGGTTTCCATTCTATTGGTGTCCCAAGCCGTCCAGGTTTCACGGTTTGGGGGATCTGAAGGTGACGGCCGCGGAGACGGCCGCCATCAAGAATCTTGCCGCGCTCCCTCGTCCGTTGGATTGCAAGCTCGTCTTGTCGCTTGCGAATTCGCCTTTCAGGGAGAGGGGCCTAGAGAGTGAGTATTATGTGCTCTGGTAGGTTTTTAGGACTTGTGTGGTTGCCGGTTATTGATGTGTTTCTGTTTCTTTTCTGCAGGCATTATGGGCAGAAACTTGTGGCGTCAGCTTAAACACCGCTACAATGTTTCCGAGCTCGAGGTTCCCGAGCCTCCGGAGGAGGATGCTGTCTCCCTAAAGACCCACCGGAAGAGGAAGAGGGGGAAGGAGGAGGTCGGGGGGACCTCCGCTTCTCACGATGTCGAGGAGGCGACCTCCCGGGTTGTGGACGCTGTGGATCTCACTGACAGCCCTCCGGCCAAGGAGGCCTCGCCAGTGGTTACGGCAGAGGTGGTGCAGGGTGTCAGGCTTACTGCACCGGACGCCGAGGTGAGTAGCTTATCACTTGCTCGCATTTTCCGTGTGCGTTTCCGGGCAGACCGTCCGAGTTGCCAAGGTGGAAAGTATTGTCTTCTCGGACTTTTCACTCTGCCTTTTTGTTATGTTGTCTGGCTGTTTGATCTGGGTGATTTTATTTGTAGGCAGGAAATGCCTCTGGGCCTGAGCTGCAGGCGGGGAAAGCCGCTGAGCCTGAGGTGCAGGCTTCCGGGCTAGCCGCCCATGCTGCTGGGGTGAGTCTGGTTTTTTTGTATTCATGGCTTCTCGCATGTCTCCTTATCTATTTGTGATGCGGGACTGGTTTTTGCAGGTGGAGTCGGGAGTCCCTAAGGTGGACTCTATAGGTTCTGAGCAGGGAGGGCCATCCTCTACCGCGGGTTTGGCGTCGCAGGCGGGCTCATCGTAGGGGCCTGTCCGGACCCAATATTTATCCCATCGCTTTGGGAAGGGGATAGATACGGTGTGGCTGGATCACGTGAGCGCGTCCGCCGACATGGATTCATTGTGGAGCGCGGGGGTGACCGCGGAGAGGTTCTTTCCTCAGGGTTCGTTGTGCTCCGCATATATCTCATTCAATCATGTCAACATGACATCCAACAATGTATATGAACACACCACACATACATTATATGTATACACCTCAATTAATGTGTCGTTACACATTCACCTACAAAAATCTCCTAAAAATATGAATAGTCTAAGTGATTTCATCCTAACAAACCAACTCACTCATTTTCGCACTAGAAGCACCGACTCAATCACAACAAAACAGGATAGCAATCCCTCATTTGGTTTCTTGAGTTTTGTCACTTATACTAGGAAAGTCTAGTTTTACTGTTATGAATGATATAGTTGGGAATAAGCATACCGCTACCTTGACATGTATTACCAAAAATTCATTTAAGGAACTTATTTTTTCCCAACAAATATATTTCCATATGCATGAACATAGAGATCAAATTTCTTACCACATGTTTGAATAACACAATTATCTTTCAACTATACTAACTTGTTTGTCCAATCAATTTGTCTTTCTTGAAGTGAGAGATACACATTAAAAATAAAATATACTTGCCATGTTGATTATAAAATTAATTAATGAACATTGTGATAAAGTTAAATGCAAGTAACAAATAAGGATAATTTAAGTGTAAATATACATGAATTTAACATTTCTTAATTTGTGCTTAGAAAGTTAAGGGTGTATTTAGTGGAGAGGAAAGAAATAAGTAATAACTTGTCATAGTCATTATACTATGTGAAATCACTACTAGTAGCGAAAATTTAGTTTACTAGAATTATAAAAGTTTAATTAACAAATATATGGACATACATAAAATATGAATAGTGTCAATAAATCATATATGTTATTTACAACAATCCCAAACATAAATTATATAACCTAGTATTGGTCGAGACAATTATAACAAAAGTACTTCAACGGAAATCTCAACACCTAACTTCTTCCTTGTCAAGCATTTTTCCCATTTCCTGCAATCATGAGGCACACAAAATTCAGTACAAGAATTTGAATAGTCATACAACAATAAGAGTCATGCACCCACACAATGGACACAAAAGGCAAAGATTGTCATACAGCAAAATTAGAATTTGAATTGTCACACTCTTAAATATAAGTCTCAATTACACATCACATGTCTAATGAATGTCCAATACGATTTTGAAAGGCAACCTTTTAGGAAGCGTTTAGTATGCTTCTTAGTAAACACCACAAATGCAAAAGACAAACATAATCAATAATCAATACAATAAAACCTTGCAATATAAATGTTTTATCAATAGAAAAGTACTAAAAGCCTAAAACTCTCTACAATAATTGTTTAACTTTTTCGAATATAAGCAATTCTGTCACACAAAGCAGTACATAAATTAGCAAACATAGGTGAATATCATATTTGTGGCTTGACCCTTATTGGGGTTTGGTAATTGAATATTGGAATTCAGCTTCAAAATAATTGAACTTAATCTCGTTTTCATTTCTAGATTTATTTATAACCTAAACCAGAAGTTTGTTAACACAAAAATAAAAGCGATCCACAATTAGATCTCTAAGCTTAGGGTCTATACTTTATTTGGTATCAAAGTCAGTACATAGTGCAAATTGCAAACATCAAAATCCTCAATGAATTGAAGGAAGCAACTTAAAGTGAATTCTTTTGTTCTCACGTATGCATATCAATAAGTCTCAGTTCTCTTAATTTTTTTTTTCGTTTCTCAAGTCAATTTTTTCCTGATTAAAACATGACTCCGTATTTTGATATTTGCTAACACTTCAATAATCAACTTTGTATACATAAAGAACTAATTGAATCTCACTTATGTTAATCTCTTTATAAAGTCCTTGCAAGCCACAGCCACTGCCTGAAGCCCTTCATCGCATATCGAATCAAGCACCTGTACAAGAACAACATCCAAACACCAACAATCAGCCCCAAATCGAAATTCAAATCCACAAGAATACAATCAAAACACACAAACACGAGATAATCCAGTAAAGCTCAAATGCGGTGGCATAATCCAGCTCTTGATCGGAAACCAGCGCACCTTTCGTAGCACTGAATGAACACATCGATTCAAATGAAGCTTCTTCAAGGAAGGTGACCTCCTTAGCGACCTAAACACGAGAATCGAAATTAGAAGGTAAAGGTGAGGGTGAGGGTTTAAAGATGAACACTCCACACGTGGACAAGAAAAAATCGTGGATGCTCCTATACTCGACGCGTAGTTTCGTTTCTCGTGGAGGCTCTTCGTGTCAAAACGAAAATGTATTGATTCATTTTTTTTATGTTTTTTTTCAAAAGGTTCACCTTTGTTCATTATTATTAAACTATTCAGTAGCCCTTGAAACCCATCTCTTACAGGCTAGATCTTTGATGCTTTAGGTTTCTAATTTTCTTTTTGGTAGATAATTAATCAGATAATAATGGTATCGATATATATTCATGTCATACACTTTAGAAAATTTTGAGTTTTGATAAATTAGATAAAATATAAATTTAAAGATTACGCTTTGATAGTTATACAACAAAATATTATATAAATAATATTAATATTTTAATTTTATTAATTTTAATTATATACTTAAAAAAATAGTTTCTAAAATGAGTTAACAATGACAAAAAAATATCAATGTTTAGTGTATTTTAATGAGAATCTAATTTATCTAAAATAAATTAACAATGAGTGAAAAATTAGTTGTATATTATATTTCTGTATTAGATACTAAAGAAAATCTAAAATGAGCTAATAGTGAATAAAAAATTAATTATTATTTACTAGTGTATTTTTTTTAGAGATCAAATATTTTTGTGTCTAAAATAATTTAGCTGAAATATTAGTTTCTTGTTATATTTTTATTAGAGACTAATACATTGGTTTCTAATATAGAACAATTAGATACTAAAAAATGGTATTTAAATTGAGTTAATAGTGACCAAAAAATCAATCTCTAGTAATATTACAATTAGAGACTAGAAAATTTAGTCTATAATTTTAGTGCATCTTAAGACTAAAATATTGGTTTCTAAAGTGTTTTAACAGTGACCAAAAATTTTGTCTCAAATTATATTTTAATTAGAGACTAAAAATGTTGTACCTAAATAAATAAATAATATTTTTTAAACTATTAGCTACTAAAAATTTGGTCTCTAATTACATTAAAAATATTAATGACAATAGAGATTGATTTAGGGACCAACTATAATCTATCTCTAAAATAGTATTTAAATAAGTTGCTAAAATGACTATATAAATTTGGTCTCTAAATAAGTCTCTATTTAATGAATTTCTTGTAGTGGGAGAAGAGAAAATAGCTTCAAATAGTTTGCTTACAAGTTCCCTAAATTTTTCTTATACAAAACTCTTTGTCATTATGCCACACCATTTTCATTCTTTTATATCTATCAACTTTTCAAACTCAATCAACTATTGATGATAAATGAATAATAATTGTTTTTTTTATTACAATCACATTATTAATATAGTTAAATGACAGTTAAATAAATAGTTTATGCAAACTTATAATCTTTCTGAACAAATCATTAAACGAGGAACATATTAATGTTGTATATTTATAATTTTGTACCTAATATTTTCAAATTACTTTGAAAATCAATTTGATTTATATTGAAGATATCAAAATTAATTTATAATGTTTGTATAAAAAAATCAAAATTATTTTTCCAAATTAATACATATATATATATATATATTCTTTTTTGAGAATATTTCCAAATTCTTTTCTTATTTCTTTTCATTTGACTTAGGTTTATATCCATTTTGGTTCCGATAGTATCTTGAATGTGCAATTTTGGTTCCTAAATTTTTTTATTGCAAAATTGGTCTCTCAACTTCAAAATATTAAATAATATTAGTTCACCATGAATATGCCGCAAAAAATTAAATAGAAAATACTGATATGAAATGTGAGTGACATTATATGATAGTTAATTAGTCACACTAACTTAGATATAAGTAACAACATTGATTTTTACCACATATATGATATGTTTCTTTTTTATTTTAATTAAAATTTATAATCCATTAAAATAATTTTATTCTAAAATTTTAATAGAATTATTTTCATATGTGATTAACTAGTCGGGTGGTGTCATTATGTCCCCATTTTAATATTTTTATTTAATTTTGAATGACATGTTATTATAATAGGCCAACATTGTTTAATTTTAAAAATAAAAGAGACCAAATTTGTAATAAAAAAATTTGGAGAACTAAAATTGTACATTTGATAAGTGAATTTAAGCCTTAACTTTATTTACGAGCAGAGGTGGAAATTACTTTTTTGTTCACTTGAAAATCTAGCCATATTAACATTTTCTGATTATTATCCATGCATACATCAATGCAAAACTTAGAGCCCTTACTCATACATCATGACTCATTTGTTCTACTAGTCCCCAAGGCATAGGTAATAATTATTATTCATTTGGTTAAGAGATTTCAATAAACTGAGAAAAAATTGAAGCATTTGACTCAACAGGGTAGCAAATATTAAAAATTAATAAGTTAATTGGGTTAGCTATTTGGCTTAGTTGCTTAAAATTTTTCAAATAATGTCTTGACTCTTTCTAAACATACAAATGCAATCACTTGACTAAGAAATTAAAGCAAAATCAATTAAACCCAAGTTTCAATTGGGTGAAGTGAAAAGGCTTAAGATAGTATGAATCTAAGTGATCATTGAAGATCACTTCATTCATCAAGTTATTGATGACGTAAGAGAAGTAATTATCATAGGAAACTAAACTTTCTTAATTGTTTCTTTGCATTTTATTATAAATTTTGCCTAAACCCTAAACCCTAAACTTGGGTAAATTGCTTGAAAAAGTAATTCAAAGAATACTTAGGTTTAAGTCAAAAGTGGCT